TTCTGTGTGACCTTCAGTAGGTCAGTTCTCCTTGATGGGCTTATGTTTCATAATCAGACCAGATGTTCTCAAAGGTTCTTCCTTGTGGGTCTATGTGAAGAATAGCTTTGGGGAGGAATTAAGTGCAGTGGGAAAATGGTGAGACACTATATTCTTTGGCATCAATGTCCTGGGTTTTCTGTTGCCTGGGTGCAATTATGTGGGAACATTTGAGAAAATTCTAATTGAGCCTTTGAGATGAGGGCTGGAAAGTACATCTTGTTGGCACAAGCTGACCCCTGAATGAAGTTTTTGGAGACCTCAAGGAAGGCTGATCATATGCTGGCAGTGGTATTGGTGCTTTTTTTTTTTTCAGGCAATTGTGGTTAAGTGACTTGCCCAGAGTCACACAGATAGTATGTATTATATGTCTGAGGCTGAATTTGAACTCAGGTCCTCCTGACTCCAGGGTCAGTGCTCTATCCACTGCGCCACTTAGCTACCTCCTGGGTGCTTTTGATGAAGTGGGTGAAACATCATCCCCTACTCCCCAGAATGAACAACTCTTTATTCCATGAACTATCAGCAACACTTCTCCCCTCCTTCTTATTCCCTGCCTCTCACATTATCAATTCCAAGTTCCTGCCAGTTCCATCTCCAAAACATCTCTTCCCTCTTCACCTTACCTCTAGTTCCTTCCTCTTCTCTTTCTATATCCAAACACATCCTTTATACATATGGCAGGGTAGCTTTTCTTATACAGAGAGAGGGCATGTCACTCCTTTGCTCAAGATCTCTTAATGGCTCCCCATGGTCTACCAAGTAATGTTACCTGATAGGATGAACAAGATGGAACACTAAACATTTTCTCCTATCACAATCTTTCATATCTCTCTAAGACAGAAATTAAACTCAAGGGATAAAGCAATTTTAGCTATCTCCATAGTCTAGGTCACCAATAACCAAAATGAGGTAAAAACCTAATTGACTAATAGCAGAGAAGGCTAATCCCCATATCCCTAACAAGGTCACTCAGTACCTCCTCCATTGTCAGCCACCACAAGGGCATTGATGCACAAGTTAATCCACAGGTTTGCAGTAGAATACAACTGTCCTCCTCATGCCATGGGAAAATAAAAAAGACAGAAGCTTTTTTTTCCTGGAATAGTAGTGAGGCAGCTGTAGCAGACAACGGAGGAACTGAGGAAACTGAGGCAGGACATGTATGTGACTGATTGGCACTTCACTAAGCCTGAGAGAAAGATCCCGGCATCCAGCTGGGACCATTTCTATTCCCCCAGAAGTTATTTCTGGCAAGGACTGAGGGCATTGAAACCTGAATTGCCCAACATGGGAAGAGACTTAGATGGGTTTGAGGTCCAGCCTCCAGGGAAACTGTCACCAAAAGCGGAGTCAGAAAGTGAGCAATGGGGGACCATAAAAGGGAAAGACTAAAATTGCCAAAGGTTTGAAAGGAAGAAAAATCAGTTAAAGATCTTGAGCATAAGCACATAAACCAATGGGGGAGATAGTAATAACAGAAGGGAATATGGTCTCCAGATCACCTAAAAGAGTCCATAGAGTCATGAATAAATATTGCAAGATGAAGGAAAGTGAATCAATACTTGGTGAAGAAGAGAAATCTGATGATTCTCAAGAGATCACAGAACCACAGCATTCCTGAATGGCCTAAAAGAGAAAGAAAAATTGTGAAAGCAGAATTTATGGCCTGCACAGCATAAATAACTGATAAACTAGAAAAAATGCATAAATGTTTGATGAATTGATTAGAAGGAAGAAAAAAGTAATAACATTAAAAGAAAACATGATCTCCAAAGAAGCAAAATATTAATCTTGAAGACAGGATGCACAGACACAACTTAAGGAGTATAAATCTTCCCCCAAAAATCACAAGTCAAAAAGCCTCAATAGCATAATGCAAGAAATAATGCAAGAAAAATTTCCCATATTTCTGAAAACAGAAAACAAAATGTCAATTGAAAGAATCTACAGATTGCTTCTAGGAAAAAAAAAACAAAACCAAAACCAAAAAACAGAAACAATATAAATCCTATGCTGAAAACTCCAAGACACATACTGGTTAAGTTAAATAATTCCAGTAACAACAACAAAAAATATTCTACAAGTAGCCAAGAGAAAGATCTTCAAATGTGAAGTAAAGGAAATTCAAGTAACAAGACTATTCTATACCCACCAGAAACTGCAGAAGGGAATGGAATAATATGTTGTAAAGAGCAAAGAAATTCAAAATGCAATTCAAGGTGATATATCCTACAAATCTGAGTCTGACCATTAATGAAAAAAGATGGGCATTCAATAAAAAGAGGTGTTTGAAGAATTTCTAGAAAGAAAAATAGGCCTGAACAAATTATTTGTTTCTCAAACACCCCACGCAACAGAAATACAAGAAAGGTAAATAAATACAGCAACCAAGGACAACAATAACAAAATAACAACAGAGAGACTATTGAGAGGTTTCTTTCCAAAACTACACCAGGAAACAAGGGTGAAAGCAGAAGACAGATAAAAGTGGTAGTGGAGAAAGAAGTCTCAGACATCATGAAAACCCTGGTTAGAAGTGAATCAATATTTTTGTCACACTAAAGTATAGGAGGAGAGGGCACACAAAAGAGGAGAAGAGAGGAAGAAGATAGGAGAGAATGTGCATTGAACCCTAATAAAATCAAAGGTGAACAATGAAAGGGAAATAATTCCTGTAGTCTCACAGGAAGAAGAGCATCTGCAGGACAGTGGGTGAAGTGAGGGATTGAAAAAGGGGGAAAGAAAGGAGGAAATCTTGTTTCAGTGGAGGGATGGAGTATTACTGATAAGTGGAGGAGAGAGAGCCCATAAAGAGAGATGGGGACCTACTAGTGGTTCCAATCTCAGGGATTGGTGCTTAGAGAGAACACCCATCTTTCCTTAGGGTAAGAAGAATCAGGGCTCCTGGGAACAACTAATATCCGCAAGTCTGAGAAGGTGTGGCCCCAGGGATGAAAGTGCGTGGCAAATGGGAAGAAATTGCCAAGGAGAGGGCAAAGGTTAATATTGAACTGCACAATCAGAGATATAGGAAATTCTTACCATGAAGCAATATCCTTTATCATTTGCAGGAGGCAGTAATTCTGAGAGTAAGTGGAATAACAGATAAAAAAGGGTCCGGGGGGAGGGGAATATCTATTTTTTATTATACTTTTAGGCAATTGGGGTTAAGTGACTTGCCCAGGGTCACACAGCTAGTAAGTGTCAAGTGTTTGGTCTGAGGTCAGATTTGAACTCAGGTCCTCCTGACTTCAGGGCTGGTGCTCTATCCACTGCACCACCTACCTGCCCCATAGGGGACAATATCTAAAAAGCAGTACTTATTTAGAACAGGGAACCCAAAATAGGTATCTTAGATGCCTTAATTCCATGAAGAATACAGAGACCAATCAATGTAACAGTCATGAATAAAAGTTTAGGATAGAAAGAGAAGATAAATTATTAAGAGAATGAGGGAAAGAAATCCTTTTTTAAGAAAAAGATGCAGACAAAGGAAATTTTTTAAAACTAACAAACAAGACAAGTTAAAGGGAAGGAGAAGCAAGGGGATTTTCCTTGCCTACTTAACTGAAAAAGAAAAAAAGAGGGGAAGAATTAAGTAGCTAGATGAAAGGAAGAAAGAAAAAGGAACTAGTAAGTAAAGCACCAGAACGAAGGAAAGGCTAACAAACCAAATACTGTCATCTAGTCACTTTGGGGAGTATCCAGGCAGCAGCCTTTTCTAGGAAAGCGCAGCATGAGGACCTTTGCTGGAACTGGTCTCAGGCATGGAAAACCCTTCCAATCTGGTACCACTCAAGTCTTCCAAATCAGTGGTACCAAACTCAAATAAAAACTGGGGTCACTAATCTATACATAAGGATCCCTGCAGACTACATATTGATTTAGTTTTAAAATGTAATATTATCTATGTTTTATTGCATTTTTATTCTGTTAAACAGTTCCCAAGTATATTTTAATCTGGCTTGGGCCACACTCAGGAGTGGCCTGTTTTGACATTTCTGTTCCAGCGTTATCCTACAATATTTATTTATCTCTACATATTCTACCTTCTAGCCAAATCCATCCCTCTTCAACCTCTAAATGCTTTCCCTCCTCCGTGCCCTTTGCTTACACTGTTCCACCTGCCTGAAATGCCCTCTCCTCCTCCTGTTGAATTGAAAGTCCTCCTCCCTATCATTGAAAGTCTGACTAGGAAACTTTTGGTGATTCCTCCTGTTAGCAGTGACCTCACATAATACTTTGGGTCCACTCCTCCTAGGCACTTAGCATGTATTCGTTCGCATTGTAGTTATCTATGTAGTTATCATTACGTTCCCATACTGTTCAAAGCTTAATTTAAATTCAATTCCACAAATGCTTTATGAAGTGCTAAGACCTGTGTTGAGGAAGAGATGTAAGCCCTGGCCTCATAGAAGTGATGGGTTGAAAAGTAAACACACAAAAAAGTCTCTGAAAGTAGAGAGCAGACCGCGTCTTGTCTAAACTTCATCTCTTCTCCAGCATGGAGCACAGGGTTCTGCACACAGTAGATGCTTAATAAGGGTTTGTAGAATTGGATCAAATGGAGTTGACTGGGACGGATAGATGTTTACCCTCTATATCCATTTACTCATTAGCATGTAATAGCGATTATTTTAACTACACTGTGATATCATTTTCATTTTTTTCAAAAAGTTTGATAGTACTTTTAGTCACAACAAGGTATAGAGGGAAGTGGTGGACTTGGAGTCAGGAGGAATCCTATCTTTGAGAACCTGGGAAGGTCAGTTCAGCCTCAGTTTCCTTATCTGTACCTACCTCACAGCTTTGTTGTGAGTCTCAAATGAGACATGCTAATGTGTAGATAATTGCTACAAAAGCCTTCCCCTCCTGGATGCCTTTTGGTAACAAAACGCAGCCTGTGTGATGAGAGCCATTTTGTTCAATGATTTAACAAAGCTTCTTTCCTCTTCTAGGAGTGTATCATTGATGAGGACTGTGGGACAGGGAAATACTGCCAGTTTTCCAGTTTTGAATATACTTGTGAACTCTGTAAGAGCCAACAAACTGTAAGTAACCAACCCCTGTGAAGGCCTGACCATGATGTTCCTCTGATCTTACTGTCTTAGAAGCCTCTTTGCAGAAGCCTCAAAGTCTGACTTTGGTAGTGGCCCCCTCTGGTTCTCCAGTGTCCAACCCCTTAGGAAAATGTCACAATTACAAAATGCTGTGTACACTGCTCACTGGGCACCCCATAGCCCCTAGTGTTCCTGGAAACCCCAAAGATAACACAGTTCATTTTTGTGACCTTTCAGAAGATGGGAGAAATAGCCCTTCAGAGAAAGCTCTAAATCCAATTCTGTCTATTTCCAATAGTACAGACCCCTTCCTGACTGGCATATCAGGATGGGAAGGACCAGTAGTATCTCTGCCTCCTAGCCAGATTGGGGATGTGATGTGTGGGACTGATCATTCCCACCTAAACCTTTAGCCTTTAACTTGGGTTGGAGAAAGAAGGAAGGTCTTGTAGAGAAACGCCCCTGTAGGCTATTTAGATGTATGGAGAGTAATTAGTTGTTTGCCCAGAACACAGGGATAAATACATTCATTAACATACTAGACATGCTTGGGAAATAAGAATACTTATTATTTACCAAGAAATACTTATTATATACTTATTAAATACTTATTATATACTACTTAATAAGAAACAATAACTCCCATTTCTTTCTTTTTTTTTTTTTTTTGGTTAGGCAGTGGGGTTAAGTGACTTGCCCTGGGTCACACAGCTAGTAAGAACTAGTAAGTGTTCTGTGTCTGAGGCCGGATTTAAACTCAGGTCCTCCTGAATCCAAGGCTGGTACGCTAACCACTGTGCCACCTAGCTGCCCTTTCCCATTTCTTTAACAAAAAAAAAAAGATTATTTTGAATTTAACACCCTTCTCCCTGCCCCCAAACTCCATACACAAAGTAGGAGAAAGAATCTTTGTTATGTACAGTTTGCTTTTTTAAATATATAATATATTCAACATATTACTTTCAAAACTGTTCTGTTTTTCTATGTTCCTTCTGAGCTTCCTTCTGTTCTCTTCTGTGCATGTCAAAAACTACTTTAACGACCCTTTTTTCTTTATCTTTTTTTTGGGGGGGAGGCAATATTATCACTACCTCCACCCTCTCTTTTAAGTCTCCTTACCTTTGTGCCGCCTGATAAAGAATGTAATTCTTTTAATGAACAAGCATAGCCTAGCAAAACAAGTCCACACATTTGCCAGGTCCAAAAAAGCATGTATCATTCAGTACCCTGGGTCCATCATCTCCCTAGTAGGAGGTGGGTAGCATGTTTTATCATTAGCCCTCTGGAGTTTCAGTTGGTCTTTGCATTGATTAGAATTCCTAAGTCTGTCAAAATTGTTGTTGTTTTACAATGTTGTTACTGAACAAATTTTCTCTTGGTTCTTACTTCACTCTGCATCACTGTCTCTGAAATCACCTTTTAAACTATTCTTATTGTAATATTCCATTACATTCACATACCATAATTTGGTTCAGCCATTCTGATTGATGAGTACCACTTTTGTTTCCAACTCCTTCCTACAAACAAAAAGAACTGCTATAAATATTTTTGTATATTTGGGTCTTTTTCTTTCTTTGATTTCTTCGGGGTATAGACGTGCTAGTGGTATCACTTGGTAAATGGGCATGCACAGTTTAGCGACTTTGGTGAGAAAGTTCCCAATTGCTTTCCAAAATGTCTGGACCAATTCACATTCCAACATCAGTGCACTGATTTCCCCATCTTCTTATAGTTCTTTCAAAATTTATTATTATCCTTTTTTGTTACCTTTGTTAATCTGATGTGAGGTGGGATTTCAGTTGTTTTAATTTGCATCTTTCCAATCATTAGTGCTCTGAATGATTTTTTAAAATAAATTTTTGATTTTTTCCTTTGAGAGCTGTCTTTTCATAGCCATTGACAATTTATCTATTGGGGAATAGCTGTCATTATTAAGTATTTCAATCAATTCCTTATGTATCTTGGAAATGAGACCTTTATCAAAGAAACTTGGTACAAAAATTTTCCCCCAAGTAACTACTTTTCTTCTCATTTTAACTGTCTTGCTTTTGTTTGTGCAAAAACTCTTTAATTATATGTAATTAAAATTGGTTATTATATCTTTTATGATCCTTTCTATCCCTTGACTGATCAAGAATTCTTAGAAGCATAAGATTTTTTTTCCTTGCTCTTCCATTTTGTTTATGATTTTGATACCTAGGGCATATATTTATTTGGAACTTATTGTGGGATATGGTATGAAATCATGGTCTAGACTTAATTTCGGCCAGACTAGTTTCCAGTTTTTCCTGTAGTTTTTGTCAACTAGGGAATCCTTACCCCAGTGTTTGCAGTTTGAAGATTCATAGACTTCTGTGCAACTCCCATTTACATAGCACTTGCTGTTTACAAAGCACTTTCTTCAAATTAGCCTGGTAGTACAAATATTATTATTCTCATTTTACAGATGAGGCAATTGATGTTCAAAAAAAGGGGAAGTGTCTTTTCCAGTATCATATAGTTAATGGTAGTGTCCAAATATGGCCCCAAGATCTTTGAATTCAAATCCATGGTTATTCTGATTCTACCAAAATTTCACAGTTAAACTGTACAAGCTGAGTTTGCTGTTAAAAGGATAATTTTGTAAAGTGAATAATCAGTGAGCTCCTAGTTGAGCTACTTTGCAAAATCAAATTTGTGCATTCGATTTTTCTAAGTTGTGTCTCTCTCCCCATCTAAACTTACTGTTCACTGTTGGTTTTACACCCAGAATTTTCCATGCCCTTGGGACTTAGCTTACAATCCTGCAATTACTACTAAGCCATTACTACCCCTCAGTTTCCCTACCTCTGTCTTGTCCTAACCTCTGTCGAAGCCTGAAGACCCTCATTTCATCTTTTTTGTCACCTTTCTCAAGCGCTGCTCAAGAGATAGTGAATGCTGTGAGGACCAGCTCTGTGTCTGGGGTCGTTGCATAAAAGGTGCTTCAAGAGGTAGTAATGGGACCATCTGTGACAATCAGCAAGGCTGCCAGCCTGGTCTGTGCTGTGCTTTTCAGAAAGGTAGGTGGCCTCTCCTGTTTTGGCTGAGAAGCCCTGTTTCAATAAGACTGTATCAGGCAGTAGGATATAAGAAACAATACTACTGTTCCCAGAATCACAGAATCTCAGAGTTGCAAGTGCCCCAGAGGGCATCTAATCCAATTTGTACCAGAGTAAGAATTCTCTCTACAATATTCCTGGCTGTCCTTGAAACACTTTATTGAGGAAGGACTGAGGTATTTCATCCCATTTTTGGATAGTACTAATTGTTAGGATGATTTTCTTGACATATTTGGTCCTAATTTTGCCCTCTTGGGCCACGCAGAACCAGCCTAATCCTACTTCTGCATGCCAGCCCTTCAGATAATTGAAGTTGTGTCTATCATACCCTCCCCATCCTTATCTTTCCCACCTCTGGTCTTTTCTCTGAGAGTATCGAGTTAAATCGAGGGTGCTAAGGAACCTCCTCTATGACATCCCTGACACTCCAATGATGGGGAGCCCACCGTTTCCTGAAGCAGTCCATTCGGGTCACCTCTGATTTTTAGGACGTGTCTTTTTATATTCTAAAATATACTTCTTAGCTATTTCCCCCCATTATTCCTAGTTTTTCCTTATGGAGCCAAGCAAAATAAACCAAATCGTGTGTGTATGTGTGTGTGTGTGTGTGTGTGTGTGTGTGCGCGCGCACTCAAGTCCATGTGTATGTCTGTCTGTCTAGGGGTCTGGAAGCAAAGACTTCAGTAGCATCTTCAAAGGAGGATGGGTGCATGTACTAATTCTTTCCTTCCTAGGAATCCCCTAATCTCTAGTTTAATATCAAGATAGAAAGGATAGTTCTCCGATGAGTAAGTACATTTTTTCCGGGAGCCAAATCCTCTTCACTCCCATCCTCAGGAGATTAGAGGAGCAAGGAAATCGTTATAGCTGTGACTTTAGAATTATAAAAATTGGGCTAAAATATTTTGTTAAGTCTTCAAGACTTAAGTACTTCAAGTACAGCAATTCACTTGATTATGATTTGTTCAACAAGCATTTCTAGGCTCAGGGAATACAAAGACATAAATAAAAGTCTTTGCCCTCAAGGAATAGATATTGTACTTGGGAAAACAAAAACAATATATAGAAAATTGGGCACAAAATATCTACAAAGCAGGGAAAGGCTGGGAGATAAGGATAGGTTTCCTATAAGGAGGTTACATCTGAGCTGAGCTTTGAAGGAAATGAGGGAGGTGGTACAGACTGGAATACAATATCATGTACCAGAAACAACACATAGGCCAGTTTGGCTGGAACATAGAATGTATGGAGAGTAAGGTCCTAAAAGCCTGAAAGGGTAGGCTGGAACCATATTGTCAAGCACTTAAAAGCCACCGAAGAATTTGTATTTTATCTTAAAGGCAAACAGGAGCCACTGGAGTGGTTCTTAAGCATGGGAGTGATGTGGTTAGATTTGTGCTTTAAAAATATCAATTTGGCTACTGTGTAGAGGATGTTTTGGAAAGGGAAGAGACGGGAGGCTGGGACACCAAAAAGGCAGTTATTAAAGTAGTCCATGTGAGAAGTAATGAGGGTCTATGGGTGGGGTGGTAACTACAGATGGAGCAAAAGGGAAAGATACGAGACATATTATGGAGGTAAAAGCTTCAAGACTTGGCAACTTGGCAATATGAGAGTAAGGAGTCAAAGGTGATTGTCAAGTTGAGAATATGGGTATTTATGATACTCTCAACAAAACACAGAAGTTTGGAAGGGGTTAGTTTTGAGGGGAAAGAGTTCTGTTTTGGATATATTGTTTGAAATACTTATGGGATATTCCATTGGGAGACCAGAATTGGAAGTCATCTGCATAGATGTGATAACTGAACCCATGGGAACTTAAAAGGTCACAGAGGTTTTAAATAGAGAAAAGAGCCTTGACGATATATCCGTGTGTAAGAGATGGGACAAGGATGATGATCAAAGGAAATGAAGAAGTAACCAGACAGGTAGGAGTAGAACCAGGAGAAAAGAGCATCACAAAAATCTAGGGAGGAAAGAGTATTTAGGTCTTTGGAGAAGAGAGTGACCAACAGTTTAAAGAAAAGGTCAAGAAAGAAAAGGAATATGAAAATGCAATTGGATTGGCAATGAAGAGATAGATGAATGAGTGAAAAATATTTAAACACTTAACATAAGCAAAGCAGTATACAAAGTCCCTGCCCTCAATGATGGTATATTCTCATTTGGGAGATCATTGGTAACCCGGGACAGAGTAGTTTCAGTTGAGTAATGAGGTTGGAAGCCAGGTTTCAATGGGATATAAAGTGAAACAATTTCCTCCACTAATGGTTATTTAGGGGCAGTAGGAGTGGGAGGTGAGCAAGTGGAGGCAATGAGAGTATATCTCTTTTTCGTACCCACTGGGTAAGCTCAAGAGTAAGGACACATCATATTTCTTCCGTATTCCTCATGTAGCTCAGAGGAGAGTTCAGTAAGGGTTTGTTGTCCTCTTGCAGGGCTGCTGTTTCCTGTGTGCACACCACTGCCAGTGGAGGGAGAACCCTGCCATGACCCTTCTAACAGACTACTGGATCTCATCACATGGGAGCTGGAGCCTGATGGGGCACTAGACCGATGCCCATGTGCCACTGGCTTAATCTGCCAGCCACACAGGTGAGTTCTCCATCAAATACAAAACAAAAACCAGTCCTTTGATCCAAACACACCACTTAGACTACTAAGTTTCCAGCATATATCTCACAGGGCAATCTTAGCTTTTGGTCATCCAGTTCTAAGCATTACTATGGTCATACCAAAATCTCAGAACCTGAAAGTTGGAAGGAGAGTTGAGACCCTCTACATCAACCCCATTAACCTCTTCTATAGCCCTAACAAGTGGTTGTCCAGTCTTTGGTGGACACTGCTAAGAGTTATCCTCATATGACAGCCCTTTCCAGTGTTATACAATTTGAATGAGTAGGAAGTTATCCCTGATAGTGAGGTAAAACATTTCCCTCTAACTTCTTCCCCACTAGGGCCAAGCAGTACAAGACTAACCTATCTCACAGATATTTCCCAATTCGAAGGGTCACATTAAGGAAAACTACAAGACAGCACAGTACAGTGTTTCCACTGTATTGTTTCCAGAGCATGGATTCTGGAGTCAAAGAGCCTGGGTTCAAATCCCAGATTTGACACAACACCCATGCAGACTTTGGGCAAGCACTTAATCTCCCTATTTCTTCCATAAAATGAAGGGACTAGATGTCTTCTAAAATCTCTTCAAGTTCTAAATCTATGATCCTGATTTTGGCAGGCACAGTGGAAAGAGCACTGGACTTGGAATCTGGAAGACCTTAGTTCAAATATTGCCACAATTACTAGCTGTGTGACCTTGAGCAAGTTGTTTAATCTTTCTCAACCTCACTTTCCTTACCTATAAAATGGGGATAATAGCAGGATCAAGTAAGATAATACATGTAAAGGGGCTTTGCAAACCTCAAAGTGAGATATAAATGCTTGCTATTAGCTACCCGATCAAGTGGGTAGATGGGTCATCGAACTAGTAGAGATAGTGAGTAAATGTAATTACTTATTCAGATCAGTTGAATATGTCAGGTGCTCCTTAGATTTTCCCATGCATGGAGAGATTAAAAAGTATTTTTGAAAATGCTGTGGCAGCTAGGTGGCACAGTGGATAGAGTCAGGAGGACCTGAGTTCAAATCCAGCCTCAGACACTTGACGCTTACTAGCTATGTGACCCTGGGCAAGTCACTTGACCCCATTGCCTAGCCCCCCCCCCAAAAAAATGCTGCAGAACTTTCATGGTCATTGTGTCCATGCTTTGGGCAATCTTACTTGAGCTATGGATTCAGAGTTCAAAACAAGAGCCTTATTGCTGCTTCTGAGTTGGGAGCTGGTCTCCATTAAAGTGCTAAATAAAAGATTAAGTCAGAGTCAAGCTGGGGAATTGTGACCAAACTTAGCTGCTTGCTTTCTAGGCACAGCTTGGTGTATGTGTGTGAACTATCCTTCAATAAAACAAGGCGTGAAGACAAAGAGCATGCAATGACAAATGAGGGCCTTCTATTCAGCTTGCTGCCTGGAGCCATTACTGAGGACCAGGAAGATGGAGATCTCATCCAGGAAGTCCGTAGGCAACTGGAAAACCTGGAGAGAGATCTTTCAGAAATCTCTCTAGATGAGCCTTCTGTGACCTCTGATCTGTTTTATGTAGATGAGATTTAAATCAACAAGGACAGCTTTGTAATCTAGTCTTTTTACAACTGTAATTTGTGTATATTGTCTTGCTTGTATAGGCCCTAAACACATTCACTGTTGGATAGAAATGCAATTCAATAACTAATATATTTTGAGGGAATATTTTTCTTGCATGTTCAGATGAGGTTTCTTTTTCAGTGTTTTCAGTTAATTTATACATCTGGACCAAAAAAAAGTTGCACTGAAAAAAAAATTAGGCTTGCTATGCTTTTGGCCAGATGACTCTAAATTATGGGTATAAAAACGAATTCTTATTTTTGCACTTGCTCAGCTTAAATTACCCCCAACATTTAATATGAATGGTAGGGAAATGGCATTTCCCCCCTTTAAAATGGTTTGAAAGATTTTGGTAGGATGAGCTGTAAAGTGAACAATTTTCCCCGCTGTTTTTTTTTTAGGGACAGTGAACTTTAGCCATGTACAGAATTCCTTGTAATTTTGAAAATATAATCATGGTGAAATGGCAATAACTGAAGTTTCTGAGTATTCTTGATATTAAGAATCCAGTTGTCCAAAATCTCAAAAGATGCTCAATTAGTATTGATATATACATATATGTATACATGCTTATGCGTGTATATGTATATACACATAAATATATGTATACATATATACATACACACATAAATATATGTATACATGTGTATATACATACATAAATATGCATATATATAGAGAGAGATTTGCATGTTTACTTGGGGAAACAGTGGCCAAAAACTTCTCAGTCACCTCTACAAAAAACTGTAACTAATGCACTAGAAAGAGAAAATTTGATTCTATTTTGAAATGCAGCTGAAATGAAATGAGGCTGTAGAAGAGTCCCCCAAATCCTCTGAATTTAAGCATCTTTATTTATCAGTGACACATTTTCACCAACTGTCTGCACACCCAACTTCCCAGTAGAGACAGATGGTATTTTAAAAGTTTTTTTTTTAATGGCATTAGCCTTAGTAACCTAATATGACTTGGGTAAAATGCAAATACTAACAAAAGGGGGACTTTGTGCAGCTCTGCCTCACTTAAATTCAATTCACTTGCAAGTCAAGGCATCACCCTCCTGATGTCATTGGTCTGCTTTGAGAAAGAAGGACCAACCACCACCACTACCACCACCACCCTCTACCCCCTCAAACAAGCCTCTTTGGGAGATTTAGGATATTTACAATTTATGAAATCATTCTTCAGTTGCTATTGAGCAATATTAATAAAATGGAAAGTTAGGAGTTATTGAGGATAGTAACATTTTTTTTTTTAAACAATCTATGCCAATCTCTTAAATTTCAATGAAAATTTAGTAAGACCAATTCTTACAGGCTGTTAAGGAGAGGCATCATGGTATAGAGAATGGAGAAGGGGTCCTCAGTCAGAACGATCTAAGTTCAAGTTCTATCACTGACACATAATAACTTTGTTACCCAGTGACCCAGGGAACTCTGTAGAGATGCTGCAGATGTGCATTGATAGAACTGCCTTACGGTGTTTCCTATACCAATAAAATCATGGATTAGAGTTGCTACCACCACCCTCGCCCCCTACAAAAATGGGTGGGAATTATCTCGAAAAATTAGTTCAGTACCTTTCACTAAAGTAAACCTATCATTCAAAGCTGCAAAGGATATTTCAAACATCATCAGAAGAAAATTATATAAAAGGCTAATCAGTACAACCTAGTCATTCTGAAGCCAAATGATGAACTATTAATCTGATTTTCTATTGCTAGTCAAAAAGTATTTGGGAGATGGTTATGTTGATGATCAAGTAAAGATCATACACATCATGTACTGCAGTTACTTTGTGGGACCAAAAGCTGAAAACAATTTTGGGGTAAAATGACATTAATGGACTATTTCCAAAGATAGTTAAAAAATTATTCACTATTACAGCATAGCTGTGATTTTAAATCTGTATTTTACAAAGTATTTTATGACAATACAGAACCTTGATTTAAAGGGGAACTTAAGACACCAAATAGTTCAACTCCAATAATCCTTTTTTAAGGATTCTGTAAAACACATCCAGTGACATACTCATCACCTGAAACAGCTTTAATTGCAGTGTTCTTCCTTACATTGAATGTCTCCCTAAAATTTCTACTCAAGGATCTAATCTGCCATCTGTAACTATTCACAGTTCTAACGCCTTGTCTTGAAATTTTTGAAGACAATAATGATCATGCTTCTTCTGTCTCCCTCTCCCAGTTTAAACATCCCTAGTTTAACTCGTATGACTTTAAGCCTTCGGTGTTAATACTGGCTCTGCCAAACTAGCTGCGACAGTGGGCAAGTCACTAAGCCTTTTTGGACTTTCATTTCTTTGCCTGTAAAACAAGGTGGTTATGCAAGACAGGAATCACTAAACTCCCTTTCAGCTATAAAATGTTCTGACCCAGGTGGTTTCCAGGCTTATGGTTATTCTCTGGATCTATTGATATATAGGTCTAAATATCTTTATTTATCAAGAAGATCTCACTTTTAAGGTAAAAAGGTGAGAAGTGAGGGCATCTGTAGTGACTGTCATCCCCCAAATCTTTTTACATTTTCACCTTGTCTGAGGGAACACATTTGCTTCACCTGTCTCATTCTCAATTTTGCCCTTTGCACTAGTTCCTTTCCTGTTGCCTACAAACACACCCAGGTGTCAATTCTACTGCACCAGCTTAAAAAACCTGTACTTCACCCTGCCATTTTTGCAAACTGCAATGCTGTGCACATTTATTCCCGTTTGTTGTGCAGCTTTATTCCCGTTTACTGCCCAGCTCCAAGGGTTCTTAAGGATTAAGGTTAAATCATGGACCTTCTGGCAGTCTGATAAATTCTGTGTACCCTTTCACAGTAGGTTTTTAAATGCACATGGCAAGATACCTAGGATTACATGGGAAACTGATTCTATCTAGTTATTTTTTAAAAGTTCATAGATCCTCAGTTCTGATGCCAATCTATACCCATCCTAGGTATCTATTCTCACTTCTTCTAATTCCATTACAGTACACTACATCTCAATCCATTATACAAAGGCTAGCAGCTAACCAAAGCATTCTACTGAAACTCCTTGTCAAGTTTACCAATAATCTCTTAACTGCTAAATCTCAAGTCTTGTCTCAGTCCTTTTGGACCTTGTGGAAGTTTCTAGCAGTTGTTAACAACCTATTAGATAGTCTTCCTTCTTGGGTTCTTTCCTTTTTAGCTTCCCTTACTGGCTCATCATTATCTTCCACCCCTGAAGTCATGGGTATCTTCCAAAGCTATTGCTAGGGCTTTTCCTTGGGTCAATGATCTCTATGTAGACATGGGTCTCTACATAGGTGGCAGACTGGATAGAGCACTGGAATTGGAATCAGGAAAACCTAAGTTCAAATAAATCCTGACATGAGCTATATGGCCCTGGTCAAATCATTTAGCCTCTTTCTGCCTCACTTCCTTCATCTGCAAAATGAGAGTTTGGACTCCATGGTTCTACACAGAGGTGTCAAATACACTGGCTATATTCAACCCACAAGTTAAGAGTACAGACCAAAACAGATTAAAATCCAATCTGGGACATATTTTAACAAAATAAACCATAACACAAGAAGGCATGTTAATATTATTTTCTGCAAATATGCAACCTGCAGATATTCTCATGTATGACTTGGTACCTCTTACCCCACCCCCACCTCCTTTCTGTTTGAATTTGACATCACCGGTCCCTTTCAGCTTTAAACCTAGCAAGCAGCCTTAATCTCTCTCTAGTCTCCTACCACCAACTAACTGCTTAGTGGACTTCATCACTTGGATGTCCTATCTACCAGCAATGCATACTTAATGTGTCAAAAGCAGAAGTAGTTATCCTTCCTGAATACGTCCCTTCTCCAAAGCTCCCCATTTCTATCATGGGCATTACCAGCCTCCAAATGGCTCAGGTTCCTGACATCAAGATTTTCTGCCTCTTCTTTCTCCCTGGTTCCTCATAGCCATTTAGTTGCCAAATTTTGTCAATCCCCATCCCCCTCCCCAGATTTCTCATCTTTTCTGTTACATTCTTTCCACTTCACATAGTAGAGTGGCTAGAAAGCTGGCCTTGAAGTCAGGAACTCTGACACATATTAGCTATTTAGAGCTACTTGGCTCTAGGAGAGTCCAACCACTTGGTGCTCTAGACAAGGTGTCAAACTCTGGGTGGCCAGTGGCAAGGGACCTGCAAAAACTCCTGTGATTTTCTAAGTTGGTATGTGGCCTGGAGGGATGTTTCTACTTGAGCTCAACCTCACTGCTCTAGACCTGGGCTTCTAAGAGTCTAGACAACTTCTAAGGTAGAAGAGGGGCTGACTTGTACTAGGTGGTAAAGTTTCCACAATGAAGCTCAGGTCCAGTTCCCATCCAATTATGTAGCCGCTACCTTAAGGCCTTCTACCCCTTTCACCTTTCTTATTGCAGATAACTAACGTTTTCCTTTCAAATTATTCTCCACACACTGCCAAAATAATTTTCTGCAGAACACAGGTCCAACCAGGTCAGTCCCTATGCTCAAAAATCTCCAGTGGCTCACTACTGCCTCTAGGAATATACTACCCACATTGAAGTCTAATGTTTAATATCCTGAAAAACCTGCATCTAATCTACCATTCTAGCCATCATGCAACTTTCCCTGAACACTCAACATAACAGCAAAGCCGTACTTGACATTCTATCTAGATGTCTCTGGAATAGTCATTACTTCTCAGCATCCTTCATTTAAAGGTCAGTTCTGTTGTTACCTTTTTCAAACCACTTTCCCTCATTTCCTAGTTGTTAAGGACCCTCCTTCCCAAAGTTACCACATTTCCTTTTTTTTTTTACACTTATCTGTGAACATAGTATACCCTGTTTTCTTTCCTACATGGTTGAATTAAGCTCTTTAAGGGCAGGAACTTGTCCAAAATCAAAAAGTTTTTTTGGCAGGGCAAAGGGATCATTTCATGTTTATTGAAATGAAATGTCATTCTCAAAATACTGTCCCCATGACAGCCCAGAAATATCCCAAACTGTTCAGAATACAATGAGCCTATTTTATATGATCTTGATGTGATAATTCCACGAATGCAGTCAAATATTATGTATATATTTTCAGAAGTTGCACCACTGGTGTTTCATTTCGTTAAGGTTACTGACGTTAGGGATGAAATCTGTGGTCAAGGAACTGAGTGATGGCAACAGAACCACAATGATGATGAAACCAGAGACTTAGTTTCAGTATCAGTGAACTTGATGCTTGTCATACCTAACTGAAAGAGCACTGATGTGCCATGGGCCAAGCACTGCAGCACATTCCCCATTCACTATTTCATAAATGCCGGCAGGGAAGCTGTGTTCAGGCTCCCTCTTCCAGTACACTCATTTCAAATCGCCTTTACCCTCCACTATAGGGCCCGACTTCAGGTGACTGACTGTGACCCTGGCCTTTGGACTTTTGTCCAAACTGACATTCTACAATTCTAAGTCATGTTGGAGACCAG